AATTTTATCTTCTGGTGTTTTTCCCATTTTTCATTTGTTTTAGGGCGACTCTAATTTCTGATGTTATTATTTCAGGGAAGTCCTCTGAGCCCACATTTAAGATATGTTTTGTATATATTAACATAGTAATATATTAACACTAAATTTTAACCAGTTTATATGTATTGCAGATTGCTTTGCGAGCCACGATTTTGGAACACGAGAACGCCATCTTGCGCGCACAAGTTTTAACCCTGAGAGAAGAGGCCTCCTCGCTTCGACAAATGCTGCTTCAAAAAAAAGCAATAGAATTAGCTTCAAGAGATTCTCAAATATGCATCTCATGAAAGTTAAAATCGTCGTTATATTTTACTGATTGTGATATTTATCTGTGTAAATAATAATTATATTCAAAATAAATATTCTTAAATCATAAGAGAGTTTCATCATCAGCGGTGCTACACTTCTTAGAGGACCTTATCACTCTCAAATTTATTGTGGCATATTGTTTTGGTGTGTGTTTGTGTTGCCAAGTTGGAAGCACCGACCTTATCAGAACCTCAGAAAATTCTAGGAAGTCGTCTACAATGGATGTCATATTATTCGTCTAAAAGACGTAATTTTGGTCTCAGGATAGACACGAATGGTGTCTATACTGAGACACCATTGGTGTCTATCCTGAGCTAGCTAGATCTAGCTAACAAAATATAAATAGTTTCAGTTTAGAACAGGGATGGCCAACCCGCGGCACGCGTGCCACTCTGTGGCACGATTGAGTCCTATCAGTGGACTGTCACTATCAGCGGACAGCACTGATAGGACTTTCAAACTGATCAAACTTTCAAAAAAATTAAAACTTGAAAAACAAAAAATAATAAGAAGAAACTTGGTAGGTTTACGGAAGTTACGATAGATGCGGCATCATTGCATCCTCTGGCGAGCGATATTGCTGCGATTGGTGCACGTGATCCTAGCTGTCGTAATGTGCAATATGACTGCGTTACCCTTGCTTAGTTTATTTTAAACTGCCCCGTTGTATATGCACATTTTGTCATCGCGCATTGTTTCTTTAAAATTTTAAAAGTATTTGTTCGATATGTCCACGAGTAAGCCTTCGACTTCAAAACGAAAATACGAAGATGATATTGCAATTCGCGATTTTCAACCTGCTTGGGAAGAACAATTTTTATTTACTAATCGTAATACTTCAAAGCCTGTTTGTTTGATATGTGGATTGTCTGCACATATCAGTTCCGAAAAAATTTAACCTGGAACGACATTATAAACAACTGCATAAGGACTTCAGCAACAAATATCCTATTGGTTCACATTTGCGAGCCGACTTTATTGAAAAAAAAAAAAGAAAAAGAAAGCCAGCCAACAGTCACTGTTTCAGAAGAGAAGTGACGAAATGGAAACTATGGTTAAAACATCATATGAACTTTCTCTGCTGTTAGCCCGGAAGAAAAATCCTACTCTGATGGAGAGGAGATAATTAAAAATAGTCTGGCAATATTTGCTAAAAATGTGGGAGATGTAAAGATTAACAATATGGTCGATAATATTGCATTATCCCGAAATACAGTCATGCGCCGTATAGATGATATGGGCCAGGATGTTGTTTCCCAAATTATAAGGGGATTACAATCCTGCAAATTCTTTTCTTTAGCGTTGGATGAAAGTTGTGACAACACAGAAAATGCGCAGTTAAGCATTTTTGTCCGTTATACCAATGATGATTTTGAAAATGCCGAAGAGCTTCTGGATTTGCGCCAACTAGTCACAACAACAGGAGAGGACATTTTTCAACAGCTTAAAAACGTAATCGAAGTCAAGAAAGTTGAATGGTCAAAATTAGATAGTGTTTGTACAGATGGATCTCCTTGCATGGTTGGTAGACTAAAGGGGTTTGTTACATTACTGGAAAACTATTTGGGAAGAAAAGTTTTTAAGTACCATTGTATAGGATACCACCAGGAAGCTCTTTGTGCCAATGACCTAAACCTGTCATCTGTTGTTGACCCTGTAACACGCTGCATTAACAAAATACGAGCTCGGGCATTGAATCGACGACAATTTCGAGAACTGTTCGCGGAAGAAACGAAGCAAGATGCAGAGTTACTTCTCCATTGCAGTGTGCGCTGGCTCTCCAAAGGAAATGCACTCGAAAGGTTTTGGAACTTAAGGAGTGCGTCTTAAAATATTTGCAAGAAAACAATGAACTACCCAGTGAGTGCTCGTTACTTAATGATAAAGATTGGCTTTGGGATTTAGCTTTTCTCACTGATATTATGAGACATTTAAATCTATTAAATTTAAGATTACAGGGAAAAAATTGTATTTTTCCTACTCTAGTTGGTCATATATCTTCTATTGTGAATAAACTTATGCTTTTTTGTAACGATTTTGGAGAACAGAGATTGACACATTTCACATTAATGCAGGAATTAGCCAACAAGGTCAGTAGAACTCCAAATTATGACAGATTTAAAAACCTTATATCTATTTTGCTAGGTTCATTTAATACCCAGTTTGAAGATTTTCAAAAAGACAAAATGAATGTTGACCTTTTCATAAATCCTTTTCCTATTTCTCTGCAAGATATCAATTGTTACTCAGCTGAAACACAGATCGAAATTCTTGATTTACAGAACCACACTATACTAAACACCAAATATAGGGAAATTATTTCAACTGTTACTGATCCCAATTATATTGAATTTTGGAAATTTGTACCAGCAAACAATTTTCCTAATTTACACGAGTTAGCTCTGAGATATTGTTGTAGATTTGGTTCAACGTACGTTTGTGAGCAAATGTTCTCTATTATGAACATAATAAAATCAAAATATCCGTCACGATTAACTGACATGCATTTAAAAAATCTAATTCTGTTGGCTAGTTCCGAAATTAATCCCAATATAGATGAATTAATTTAAAAAATACAAGTTCAAATACCACATTAAATAAGTAACTGTTTAATAATTTGAATTTTAGATAATAAGAAAATATTCAAGTTTTTTTGTTTAACGTTTTTATTTTATTTTTATTAACAATAAAGTAAGTTTGTTGTTATGTTTTACTTATTACGTTATTTTTTAAACCTCCACTATCTTGACTAAACGGAAAAATGTGGAATTTACATAAGAAATACATATTGTACCGTATATTATTAATATATAGTATCCATATTAGTATGCCGAAAAATTTTAGTGGCACGCCAAATTTTTTTTGTTCTCATATTGGCACTCGACTTAAAAAGGTTGGCCACTCCTGGTTTAGAAAAGTTGATATTTATATTTCATTCTTATTAAATCTATAAATGAAATCTCTGAAATGATACAAATTGAATTTAGTTGTGAATTTTCTAGAAAAATAATAGTTATACCGTAATCGGATAATTAACTTTCAAGTAAACGAGGATATTGTAAATACAAGAACCAAAATTCCGAGATTGCCTCAGGGTAGCATTTTAAGTCCTAGATACAATCTTTACTGTTGACCTAGAAAAACTGTAAGACGAATTCAGTGACATTCTTCTTCTTCTTCCTCAAGTGCCATCTCCGCGGCGGAGGTCGGCAATCATCATAGCTATTCGGACTTTTGAGACGGCTGCTCTGAAAAGGTCATTTGATGTACATCCGTACCACTCTCTCAGGTTGCACAGCCATGACATTCTACGCCTCCCTATGCTTCTCTTTCCTTGGATCTTTCCCTATATCATCAGTTGGAGCAAGGTGTATTTCGCTCCACGTGTAATATGTCTGAGATATTCCAATTTTCTTGTTTCGCATTCAAGGTCCAAGATTCCATTCCACAAAATAAAGTCGAAAAAACATAGCACCTTGCCAACCTAACTTTTGGTTCCAATTTTAAATCCCTTGTACATAGCACTCTTCTTATTTTGTTGAAATTTGCTCTAGCCTTTTCTATTCTGATTTTGATATCCTGAATGTAATCATTTGTGGAGTTAATCATTGTTCCCAGATATGCATATTTGTCCACTTATTTCTTTGAGATTTCGATATGCTCATAAATTTCGTCTTCTTGACATTCATTGTTAGACTATACTCTTTTCCATACTTTGCTATTCTGGTCACCAGTCTTTGAAGATATTCAATATTTTCGGCTAAGATCACAGTGTCGTCCGCATATTTAATGTTGTTAATGGGAACTTCATTTACCTTTATTCCAGCTGTTTCACCCTCAAGAGCGTCTTTCAGGATCTCTTTTGAGGAGGATGAGGACCAGTTATCAAGAACTATCTTCCGACTAAGACGCCCGATGTGGTCGTTGCGATAAAAGGTGCTACCTCTAACACAACACCTACACCTCCTCAGTCACCTCAGTGACTTTAAACTTTGCCATTACAAGCATGCCGTGATGCACGGCCAATTTGATTCTGTTGCCGCGAGAATCAGCTTTTGATTCTCGCTGTATGTTATTTATATGGGATAGAAATATGTTCGGTTGGAAGGACCCTTTTTTTTCACTATGGGGGCAGTCTAAGTGTTGGAATTGGAATGTGCTGATGATATATGCACTTACACTGACAATAATTATTGTGATCTTGAATCTGGTTAAAGTTCTTTAAACCAATACACACAAAAAATTGTCTGAGCAAAATACCATTTCCGATTTTGGCCGAAAAATCAGAATTCTTGGGTGGCCCTTAATGGTATTCTAGATTATTTTCAAAAAAATACTGTAACAAATCATTGCGGTATTATGACAATGTCGCATTGTCACAGAAACCATTCTCTAAGATCCCCGTCACTAAACGATCCTTCTTTCTATACTTGTTCTCCTATTTTAACTTGCATAGTGATCCTCAAAAATCTTTTTTTTTCTTTAGTTTTCTTATTTTTACAGTTTTAACCCCACATTGTATAGTACATTATTTTTGGCAGATTTGACACATCTATTTATGAAAGCATATTTCTGCATATTCATATGTCCTTTTATATTAATCGGACAATATTTTAAGTAAGGTCTTAAAAATAAATGATATCTACTTAGTTAAAAAATTATATTTGATCACTTCTCAATATTATTTCTTTACAATAGTGACTAACTAAGAATACAATAGGACTAAAATAAATATTAATAAAATTAAAGCTTATAAAAAAGTGAAAATATTTTTATAAACAAGAAACACACAAGTGCAAATCTAATTTATAAAGAATTAAGTGCCAGCTGACTAGAGTTCCATAATAAGTAGAAAAAATTATAACGGGTAAGAATCAAGGGAGAACTTTCCCAGGAGACCAAAACTAAATAAAATTCTTGTGTAACTTTACCTAAACACCAAATAAAAGAAAAAAATCAGATGTAAATCCAGAAATTACTACTTGAACACGAAAAATAATAAACAAACATTTTTTATAAAAGAAGTACATTAAGAAATAACTGCTGGCAGTCTAAAAATAATAATGTGTTGATATATTGAAAGGTAGAGTTAAGTAAAGCCTGTATCTGGAAGAGAGCTAATTAATTAGGATGTAGATGATTCAATGTTTACATGGACATAATCAGTTGGTTCAATTTTGTCTACAAGTCCTTGTTCATTTAATTGTTCTGACTTACAGTTAAGATCATTACTATTCACCCTGCAATATAGTTTAATATGCCTATTAAAAGAACTTCTATCAGTAAAAGCTTTAGTACAAGTCACACATTGGAAAGGTCTTTCTCCACTGTGATTTCTACGATGTATAACAAGATGGTGTTTAAAGGAATAAGTTTTTTTACATATGTCGCAAGAATAAGGCCTTTCCTTGGTGTGAGTTTTTAAATGCATGTTTAATGTATCTTTCCTAGTAAAAGTTTTGGAACAAATCTCACAACTATATGGTTTCTCCCCTGAGTGACTCCTATTATGAATTACTAAATAATACTTTTCAGAAAAAGAATGACCACATATCCTACACAAAAACGGTTTTATCCCTGTGTGTGTTTTAATGTGCCTATTCATTGAACTTCTGTCTGCAAAAGGCCTTAAACATACTAAGCACTGATATGGCTTTTCTCCCGAATGGGTTTTTAAGTGGCCAATGAGGTGATGTTTTAAGTGAAAGGACTTCGAACAGAACTCACAATGCCAAGGTCTAGATGCTTCTTTGTCCTTTGATGACATATTCCCAATTTTTAATAGGTCCATCAGTGGTTCTTCTTCATCAAAGGAATGATTTTGGGCTTCGCTCATCCAAGCTGAAAAATAAATTCTAAGATTAGAAAATTTAAAACTGATAAAAAATGTGAAGTAAAAAAAAGAAAAGAGTAATTTATGGAACCGTCATGTATACAAGAGTAATGTGTGGGTCAGTGAAACAGGAAAATTTGAGGTGGGGATTGCAGCATGCGATAGAGAAAGTGGCTGCTGCCAAGATCTGCATGGCTCATTTAGTTTTCAATTGAGTATTCAACAGTAGAGCAATGCAGCTATGCTTATTTATTTATTCAACAACAAAATTCAACAATCCCAATATACATATCACAAAGCAAGCATATCTTTCCTATGTATCTATCCAAAGGGTTGTGAATACTATAAGTTGTTCTGGGGAAAGGAATATTGAAAAAATTGTGGAAACAGAGTTTGATGGGGTTTGGACAATCAATAAATCCATGTATGATCTTACATATAAATATAGCTCCTGACATATCACGACGGTTCTTGAGTGAGGGTAAAGATAATTGTTGTTCCATACAGGAATAATCATGATGTTCAATAGTAGCGTAGACATGGTAAGCACAATATCTCAAAAATTTATGCTGGACTCTTTCCATGGTATCAATATTGTTCTCAAAATGGATGACCAAATAAATGAACAGTATTCCAAAATAGTTCTAACTAAGCAACAATACACTAATATTGTTGAATCAATGGAGAAATACTTGCAATTCCTGATTATTAAAAGTATTTGGTGATCTACATGATCAAATGCTTTGGGAAAATATGTGTATATTGCATCTACCTGTTTACGGTCTTCCATATGAGATTATATCAGATTGATAGCAAACCAAGTTTGTTACAGTGGATTTTTTGCTATGAAAACCATGTTGTAATTAAGATATTAAGCCTTTACATAACCAAGAAAGTTGCTTTGCTATAAGACAGTCGAAGAGCAAATGCTATGGTAATTTTCAATATTGTCTATCTGACCATTTTTAAATATAGGAACAACAACTTTCTTTCGATGAAGAAGGAAACATAGAGGTTTCCAGAGATCTATTAAACAATATAACAAATGACATTACAAGGGTACAGGCACACTTTTTTATAAAAAATTAGGCACACCATCTGGACCAGTAGTAAGCTAATTGGGCAGCATTTATGCCATTAAAAATATTCTAATGGTAATCTAATGGTAATGTTAGAAGCACAAATATTTGTACTAAAGTTGTTATTTAATGGATGGATAGGTATGTAAAGGTTGTTGTTTTTTGGTGAATACACAGTTTGGAAGAAGTTCATAAATAAATTAGCTATATTTTGACCATTTGTGGCAGATTGGACTTGATAAAATAAGGAGTTAGGTAGGTTATGACTAGATTGCTTATCATTGATGTTTTTCTTGAAGTATCAAAATACTGAGCTTAGTGCAAATGCATTATGACTTTCAACAGCATTTCAACATACCATGCAAACAACCTGTTCCATAAGATAATACAATTGAAAACTGGAAAAAATCTTAAGCAAATTGGATCGACATTTAAAAAAAAAGATGGTAGTGCCAAAACAGTTCAAATCCCTGCTAATATGGAACATATTCAACCAGCTAATTTAAGAAGTCTGTGCTGATTAACTATCTCTCATGCCACACATGTGACAGAGAGTCACGCGATTCTCTATCAAGATCTTCAATATCATCCTTACAAAATGAAAGTTGTTCAAGCTCTTAATCTGGGGAATTAGATATTGTGAGGTTATGCCCAAGTTTACAACTTATGGATGTGTGGTAACACACATTTTCACCTCTCAGATAAAAAATTTCAGATACTGGACAGGGGAAAACCCTCATTTGCTTCAAGAAACAATTTTTCATGCTCAGAAAGTGACAGTAAGGCTTGTGATTTTAGCAAATGAAATTATCCAGTCATATTTTTTTGAAGACGAGGCAAAAAATTTGGTTACTGTTAATTCTGAACATTATATTGCAATGATTCAGAACTTTCTCACACTACAACGCTTTCCAGACAATCAAAACACACTTTTTCAAAAAGCCACATTGCAAGATTTAGATGAATGAAGTTTATAAGGTATAGTACTCAAGTATATACAAAGGTACTACTATACTACTTCTTAATTCTTCTAACATTTGTCCCCTTCCATATTTATATTAAATAAACCTGTTAGCAACTTGTTTCTGCCTCTCCTAAAGCTGTCCACACTACTCCAGGAATATGATCTGGTCCAACTGCCTCATCTTTCTTTATTTTTAGAAGTGCTTAAACCACTTTCTCTGTTATTATTTTGGTGGCCATTGCTGTTACTATCTCTGTTAGCTCAACTGGCTTTCTGTCAAATTCTTCATTTTCTCCATCGCTTTTTATCAGCATTTAACGCCAGAGCTCAGGAGATTAAGTCTAATTTTTGATCATGTTATACTTCTTTAATGTAGTACCTATGTCTTCTTTTCTACTCATACATAAGTGTCATCTTCATTATCCTTAAACTTAACTATCCTACATGAAATTAAATTTTATGTTTCAAAATGTGTAAAAGTTTTCACTTATTACAACAGGGCATTCTGGAACATCTGGGACATTTTCTACTAAAAATTATAATTGGAGCCTTAACAGTCTGAGAGAAAGTCAACAAAGATATAAATTAAATCATATTTAAGTATTTAACAAAACATATTACCTGGTTCATAACATTCATTACTTTTCATACTCAAAAATGGATGTCCTATTTCATCAGAAACTGGACTAGATTCTTCATCTATGTATGAATTTAAATCTTCTGTAACACATTCATTTTTGACAACGTTGGAATGACTAGGTGACTGATCTTTTTGCTGTGATATCAGTTCATGAAGTTGATTTGCATTTGTACTTCCTCCTTCGCATTTGACCTCTTGTGTATTTTGGGGAGATAGTGACATTTTAACTGGTAACTTTTTGAAAATATATTCTTTTAGTGCTATCTCGTTGGCTCTACATAAATCAATATAAGCATGTATATCCTTTAATTTTTGAATGCATCCCAGACATATGTAACTAGGATTACTCTCTATGTGTAAAAACTAAAAATTTCAATACCTTTAGTACAGTTTTTTTTCTCAAGAACTAATTTTTAATAGCATTACCTACAGAGCTACACCAAATTATCAGCTAATTTTATACAACAAAGCTTGCAACATACAAAATAATCTGTGCAAACACCTACGGTATTTCTGTTTATTGTTTTCAACAGTTTACCTGAAAATTTGTTAGGTTTTCAAAAGATCTCCATATATAGTGATGTTTCTCAAATAAAATAAGATCTCTTGATTCAAAGCAAGCTCGACAAATCTGTGGATAGTTTATGCAAATATCCTGTTCTCTAAAATTGTTCATACTGCAATATAGAACTCTAGGCAAATTGTTTGTGCCTACTAGATGAGTTTGGAAACGTTTTTCTAGAATATATTTGCAACATTTAGTTACATTTGGTTTATCACACAATAAAAATATTGTAAAGTACTATTATTAAAAGGAATCATAGGTTTATGTCCTAGCTGCTCGTAGCTAAACTAAAATATTAGTTTGGTTTCTGGTTTGTTTAGGTGGTTTAAGTCTGTCACCAAAATTATCTCTCTCTTGTCACTTGTCAGTGGTATGTATTATTGCCGTTTGTGCATCTTGTATTGTGACGTCTTCTCTCTTACTGTCTCTGTTCACAGTACATAGCTCAGTAGTAAGGTAAGTCCTATAGTAAGATTTCGGAGAGTTTCTAGCGCCAAATGTGGACGGGCCGAAACTAATTTTATTTGTTGGTAAATTTCAAGGTTATTACAAATAGACAGGTTGTCTGGTAACTTTACACCAATCAGCGTCGAGAATCTAACAGCGGGAATGACGTCACTGAGAATGCTACATCTACATACAAATTCATTCACTTTACTCCTTGAATTGAACTCGAAGAAAGCAACAATGATTGTAAATATATTAATCTATGTATATTGAAAAAAATACGTTTGGACAGCTCTTTAATAACTATCATGTTTCTTTCATTCTCATTCTTTAAAAAATGTGGGACATAAGTACCTGCAGAGTTACAGAAATCATAAAATATATTGCAGCTAAACATATGTAGTAGAATAGCATTACTATATTAAATTGGAAGTAGATTCTTTCTTGTGTATACATGTGACTAAAACATGTTAATATAATATATTAATAATGGGTTGAATACAATTTACTTTTTTTTGAACAATTAACAAATTTAAAACAAATATAGATGCCACTATATTCATTAGTACTGGTTTGTAATAAGTGCCATACCTTCTAAAATACTCTTCCTTAAAGGACCATCTGTAGATAATTAAGTGTAAACTGTAAACTCTAGCATTTCTGCGATCTTGCCCTTCACTTCAGGATCATCACAAATTAGTATGAACCTATTGCTCAGACGTAGGTCCATGAAAATCTATAATGAAATATTATTAAAATAAAGAATGTATAACTTTGTTATAAAATAAGGCAACTTTTAGGAATGCAATTATAAGAGTTAAGAGTTTTAACGATCTGTCTGCTTGTAAAAATAATCTAATCCTCAGAATGTTTAATCCTTCATCCAACTATTCCAACTTTCACCCAAAGATAATTGCTTTTTCGATTTGGAATACTATACCATTATGGTATTTACTTCGTCTCTTTTAGCAATGATTATTAGATATATAAAAATTGATGTATATTGTTTTTATCTCCTATTTTCATAAAAGTTTGTTGTTATAACGCCATTTTTGCAATTTGCAAAGACGTGGATTCCAATGTTGCCACTAACATTTTTTTTTTTCGATGGATACTCAAGATTCTTTAGAAATAAGTTTTTGTAAATATAAGTTGTGATTTTATTAGAATTTGCTACAATCTTTGTTTTTTTAGAAAACTTGTATAGTATAATCATTCTTTAGGTATGCAAAACTATTGAAACCATGGCTTGGCACAGCATGACTCAACGCATCTTGCTATATCATGTCTCCGATCATGTCATACCCAGTACCTCCACCTTATGTGACTAGTAGCGCCGTCGCTCTTAAACGGCTGGACCCACGCAACTCACTCTCTCCATTTAGCCTATTGTACTTACACTACCATTTGTGGTATATACTGTGGTCTCGTTGTTTGTCACTGTCACTCTCTCGGTCAATCTCAGAAGAAGAAGCATATTATGTCAGAAAACCAGAAGTCAGAAAATATAAATAATAGAAAAAGCATTTTACCTAATTATTGACCTAGATAATTCCAATAAATTTAAGATGTAAAGTTTAAAAATAAAGATGTAAAATTTAAAATAAACATTATGTAAATAGCCAACCAAAATAAGCTGGCCTTAAGTTCGGTTGTTTGGTTAGGATAAGTTACAGTTAAAAAAGAAGATATTTAGAAATTGTCATATTTAATCTGTCACAACAATTTCAAAAATTCAAACAAATTTTTTAAAAATGACTTCTATTATAGCGAAAATTTTGGAATTGGGTGAAAAGTGCGACAAAGATGGTCTGGAGAAGTTTATCAGTGATTTAGATGACGATGAAGTAAGTAGTCTACGTATTATTGTTACATCTTTAACACAAACTTGTTTTAGCTTGTTGGAATTGTTAAGCAGAATTTATGTTCCTCAAATTTTACAGAATGTTGGAGCTACATTCTAAAAGCATTTAGAGATAATAGCGGGGATCACAGCAAACGATTATATGTAGCATGTAAACTATTAAATGAATTGGAAACCAGAGATCTCCCTCAGACTAGAATAGATACTATCATGAATCGATTGAATCTAGAATTGCCAAAATTTAAGTCCAAGGACTTAGCAAAACTATGTAGTCTTTGCTTAGAGCAAATTCAATCCAAAAAAACTATAAAATTTGCATGGAAAGATCTGTTACCAGAGGTTCTTAATGTTTTAATAGAAAGAGAAACTTTCACTTATGAAGAATTGGATTACACAGGTGTTGAATATAAGTCTGATTTTGTAAATACTATCTGTATGTCTTCTTGGTCTCCATCCATAGTAACTACATTGACAACAGTATTTGTGTAAGTTTTGTATCTAGCAAAGGTAAAGGCACCAGTACTTTATATTATTGGTTTAGTTTTTGTTTTGAGCATTATATTCGGAACTTTTAATTATGAATACAAATGTACATGTGCATGTTCTTAGAACATGCTGTACTAGAATTTTGTAGATATGTATATCATTTCCATATCAAGAATTTTCAGATTTTAATATCAAGAAAAAAGCAATGCCATTTATATCTTTAACAAAAATGGATGAAATTATCATACTCAAAAGTTATAACTTGTCAACAAAGGAAAATCTTAATATAAAAACCAGACTTACCTTTGTTGAATTGAGGTCTCTTGTAATGTAACTTTATCCTTTGAAAAACAAAATATTTATAATCAAGTAAGTTGGTGATAGTTTTATGTTAGAAAATAAAATGACTAAAAAAGGAGAAAAATGTATTAAGTTATACAGGATATTATATCAAATGATTTACATGGTATGGTATTAGTGAAAACTTGATTAAACTAAGATTTTCATGGCATTGATTTGACTTTTGAGGTAGTATAGGTACCTAGTAATAGTAATTTGTAGGACATATGTGTACTGGTGCCTGTGTTTGTAGCATTTTAATAATATTAAGGTTTCAGTGACATGCCATTGACAAAGGAAGAACATTTAAAAATTGTAAACAAACTAGGAACATATATTGGAAAATTAATCCCTCAAGAAATTCCCGCCTTTGTGTATCAGTTGCTCAGATTATGTAAAGAACAGAATGGAAAATCAATATTTTTAAAACTTCAGAGTTACTTTGGATTAAGAATTTATAATAATGCTAATGCTCAAACTGAAAACTCACCAGATTCGATGTCTTTAGACTTAATAGGTAAGTTTGTATCAAGTAATTTGCAGAAAATGTAGATAATCTAGCTGAAATGTATCCAGAATATAATTATGTATCCTGGGAGATTTTAATATTCCCAATTATCAGTGGTCCATTGATGGATTGTCTTCTGTGGCTACTCCATTACCAAATGAAGTGGATTCCATTCAATTCCTCTCATTTTTATGTTCCTTGCATAATCTATATCAAGTAAACACTGTTAAAAATGAAAACAACTACTTATTAGATCTAGTCATGGTCCAAGATGAAAAGGTTGAGGTATCTAGGGCTGAGAGTGCCCTACTCTCAGAGGATAGGCATCATCATCCATTCTCATTTGGGTTTAAATGTGAATCTCAATATTTCAATGAGCCAAGATTGATTGGAGATGGCTTTTATAGAGACTTTCAGTCAATGAGTGTACGGGAAGTAACAAACTTTCTTTCACAATTTAAGGGGGATGATTTGTGTAAAGATAAAAGTCTTGCAATTGATATTTTTGTTCCCCTGAAAAAGTATTCAGCAAAAAAGTTTCTTGTCTGGTTTTCTCTATAGTTTAAAAAAACAAGGATAAAAAAAAGAAAATGCATAAAAAATATCTAAAATCTCAATTACTTGCTGACTATAATGAGTTGATTATGTTGCTCTAACTGAATCCTCTTTGAAAGATATTGTTAAAAATTTCTGGAAATTTGAGTAAAAAACAGAAATAATATTCCTTCTTTTATGCACTATAATAATATTTGTGGCTCTTATGGCATAGAGATTGTCAATTTATTTGCTCAATACTTTCCCAAAACTTATAGTCATAAAGATTTTGATTTGCAGGATGAAACCAACAGGAGACATCAAGCTATCACAATTTAGCATTTCTATTTCATCTATATAATAACATGAAAAAATTTCCATTTTGGATAGCAACAAGGGGCCAGGTCCAGATGGTCTTCTACCTTCTTTTCTTAAACACTTTAGCTTTTTACTTTCTAGACCTCTTTTACACATTTTTAACCTGTCATTAAAGACAGAGATGTTCCCGGTCTACTGGAAAACTAGCTTTATTACCCCAATACTAAAATCTGGAGATAATTCTCAAGTGAACAATTATTGGCCTATTAGCATTCTAAGTTGTATTTTCAAATATTTTGAAAGCCTTGTCTGTGACTATTTGTCAGCAACTTTAAAAGGCTGTTTTATCTACCAGCAATTTGTAGTTCGCTTTAGCAGCTCCACTGAACTTAATTTATTGACATTTAGTGATTTCCTTATAGAATCTCCTTATAGAAAGTCTTTGTAGACTTTACAAAGGCATTTGACTGGTAAAATACAAGGTTTTAATCAATAAGTTGAGGAGTCCTGGACGTATCCAGGGTGAACTTTTAGAATGGTTATTATCCTACCTAACTGAAAGAATACAAATAGTATATGTTCAGGGTTTTCAATCGTTTCGGATTAAGGTACTTTCAGGAGTATCACAAGGATCAAACCTAGACCTCTTCTATTCAATAACTATGTTAATGACATTGCTTCCTGTTTCTTCTTTGCTTCTTTTCTAATGTTTGCTGACGATTTAAAATTATATTTGAAAATTGAGAATGATGGTGACTATCAAAAACTACAGTCTGATTTGGATCGGTTGAGTTATTGGTGTGACAGCAACGGAATGGAACTTAATGTTAAAAAGTGTCATTTAATGGTTTTTGGTTGGAATAAA